CAACAGCAACCCTCGGCAGTCTTCCTCAACTCCTCCACTGCGGCGCCGCCCCACTCCCAGACCCAGCAATTTGTCGGCATCCCGCTACCCGGCCCAGCCGCCGACTCGCAGCCCTCATCCATGCACGTCCACCCCGACATCTCCTCCATGCATGGCTTCATGCCCCGCGTCCAGTACAACCTCTGGAGCTCCCTCGACCCGTCCACAGCGGCGCGTGAGGCCACCCGCACCCACCAGCAGCAGGGGCTCTCCCTCAGCCTCTCTCCGCAGCAGCCCCCACCGCCCCCGGCTGGGTACCGGTCCTTTGTCCGGGCCGAGCGCAGCGGCGATGGAGCAGCGGGTTCTCAGCCTCCCCCAGGAATTTCAGGCGGCGAGGACGTGCGGATCTCGGGCGGGTCGCCGTCGTCTGCCTCGGGCGTAACAAACGGTGCCGCAGTTGGGTCGGGCATGCAGGGGGTGTTGCTGAGCTCCAAGTACTTGAAGGCTGCACAGGAGCTTCTCGAAGAGGTTGTTAATGTTGGGAACAACGGACTTAAGGCTGAGATGCTGAAGAAGGCCAGCGGGCAGAGTAAGCCGGCTGGAGAATCAGCGGCAACGAAGGAGGATGGAAGTGGCGATGGCAGCGGTAAGCGCGGCGCAGAGCTGTCTATGGCGGAGAGGCAGGAAATTCAGATGAAGAAGGCTAAGCTCATAAGCATGCTTGATGAGGTAAGGCTTACATGGTAATTATATGCATGATCAAGTTCTTGTATAACTAAAATTGAAAAGTTATGGAGGAATTTTGGGAAAGAAACTGCTCTCTATAATCGACTATAACTTCTAAAATTTTGAGGTAGCATTCAATTCAAGGATTTTCATTTAGTTGGTTGATTCCTTCTTAACTCTAATCAAAGTTCATGCAAGTTAGGTAAGAAACTGAGTTCTATTAAACTTACAATGCAGTTCCTCAAGTTGGATCCTTGTTTGTATCAGGTTGAACAGAGATACAAGCAGTACCACAACCAGATGCAGATCGTGATATCCTCGTTTGAGCAAGCTGCAGGGATCGGCTCTGCAAGGACGTACACGGCCCTCGCGCTGCAGACCATCTCGAAGCAGTTCCGGTGCCTCAAGGACGCGATAGCGGGCCAGATTCGGGCCGCCAGTAAGAGCCTGGGCGAGGAGGATGGCCCCGGAGGGAAGATCGAAGGCTCCAGGCTTAAGTTCGTCGACCACCACCTCCGGCAGCAGCGCGCTCTCCAACAGTTGGGCATGATCCAGCAGAATGCTTGGAGACCCCAGAGAGGACTCCCCGAGAGATCGGTCTCAATCCTACGCGCCTGGCTCTTCGAACACTTTCTCCACCCGTAAGCAACATTCTCGATGATCATCATTTAGAACTGTTGCTTAAAATCACAATTGACATAAATTTGCTGAAATTGTTCTTTCCTTTTTTATGTTTAGCTACCCGAAGGATTCGGACAAACACATGTTGGCCAAACAGACAGGGCTTACTAGAAGCCAGGTATAATTTGCCGATCTTTTGTCCTAATTGATTCTTAATGCTGTGAAGGTTCAGAGATTAAATGATGCGTCGATTGTAGGTGTCGAATTGGTTTATAAATGCTCGAGTTCGGCTTTGGAAGCCAATGGTGGAGGAGATGTACCTGGAGGAAGTTAAGGAGCAAGAACAGAATGGGGGAGGAGCAGAGGACAAACCAAGCAAGAGTGAACACGAGGACTCAGCATCCAGGTCCTCTGGCCTCCAAGACAAAACCCCCAACTCCAATGAGAACAGCACCAAGAGCTTCAAACCCAAAGAGATCACCTCGAGGAACCACGACACCCCTGCCATCTCGACTAATTCGGCTTCCTCCATAGGGGCAAACGTCCGCAGCAGCAATTCCGGGTTCACTCTTGTCGGCCCGTCGGAGCTGGAAGGGCTGACACAAGGGAGCCCGAAGAAACCGAGAAGTGCCGAGATGCTTCACAACCAGAGCCATGTCTCGTCCTTGAATGTCAACCCCAAGCTCGGGGAGGCTATATCGATGAAGTTTGTCGATGAGGGGCAGGGCCGCGATGGCTACTCGATCATTGGAGGAGGGCCTGCAAATTTCATTGGCGGGTTCGGGCAATACCCAATTGGCGAAATCGGGAGGTTCGGGACCGAGCAGTTCGCTCCTTCGTTTTCAGGTAATGGGGTCTCTCCCCCATTTTCTGGGAATGGTGTCTCTCTCACTCTGGGCCTTCCACACAGTGAGAACCTCTCTCTATCTGGTGCTCACCAGAGTTTCCTTCCTAGCCAAAACATTCAGTTAGGAAGGCGAGTCGACATCGGAGAGGCGAACGAATTCGGGGCCATCAACGCTCCCATCCCTCACTCTTCATCTGCGTACGAGACCATGAACATCCAGAACCGAAAGAGGTTCCCCGTGCAGCTGTTACCGGATTTTGTGGCCTGATACATAGGACCACGGCTGATTCTCTCTGCATCATCGGAGTTCGGGATGTGGATGATGCAAGATGAAGAATGGTAGTGTAATTTTAGGTTCAGAACCGGGCTTTTCTCATATTGCTTTTCCCTTTTGCCTGTTCCCTCCATTGTTTGGGGAGTAAGTAAAAATGCATCGTAGTGTAAATAAAGAAAATAATAGGCCTATACTTTTGCATAGAAGTATTTTCAGTTAATTTAGACAGCTTTAGGATTTCAGAGAGATGATTGGGGATTGTATATTAATTTTGTAAGTTCTGGTGATGGATAGAATGTAATATCACAATACTTAGTCTTGGGTATACCGTTATATACTGCTTGTTGCTGTCGAGGTTTGATCTAACCAAATGCAGAGACCGGAAAAAAAATAGCCTTTTTCCTGTGATTGCTTGAAGAGAGTGACACCCTCAGAATCAATCTGTTGAAGGTATGTTATGCAGCAAAAAGTCCTAAATTGCTAAATCTTACATATCCGCACATGCTGTTAACAAAGCACGAAGCAGAAAAGACGAGAATTTCAAGCAGTACCCTGCTTCTAATCCTGTTATTCAGAACCATTAAAATGGACAAAAAGAAACCCACCATAGTAAATAAAATGCAAATCTCGAGGGATGTTCATAGCAGCTGCGCAGGCACCAGGAATATTTCAAGTTCCAAGCCTTTCCATTACAAACTCAAGAAAGAAGAATTGAAAGAGACCCTTGATATCGCAGATGAAGATAGCGAAATCTTCAGGAGAATGTTATATGTAGGTGGACTACTTCTGGAATACGATGTCATCGTCACCATCATCCAGGAGAAGCAGGAGGAGGTCTCTTCGGTCTGTGTCATGGCAACAAAAAGAATTGGAAAAAGAAGAAAAAAGACAAGAGTACTAGGTTCTTTAAGTCTATGAATATTAGAGCAGAAGAAAAAGGGGAATACATAAATAAATAAATATCAATAGAAGTCATTTTCTCATTTCAAGAATCCAGACTACTTTTCTCTCCTCTCCAAGAGCACTTGCTTTTTTGACTTGTTCACTCTCACGCCTTTTTTGATACTTATCTCAGTCACAGCCCCAAAAAATAAAAATTAAAATAACAAAACAAAACCAAGAGAAAAGGAAAGAGCTTCCTTCTATTGAGACTTATCTCATTAGAATAAGCTGAACTTTTGACATTTTGCCTTGCATGTTTGCACAGGTCCTATTCCCAAATCACAACCCTATCTGATTTTCACTTTTGTGGGTTTTGCCCACAATGGCCAGGAATCTCATGATGAGGATGCATTTCACCATCCCTGAATTCTGTTGTTTCAGAGAAGGTACACATATGAACTCCAGTGTAAAATGATGAAAAGTCTCTATCAGTCAACATTTATATGTGAAAGCTATTAGACGAGACACCTCACACGTATGAACAGTGTCCCCACATGAACTATGTTTTCATGAACTTTCACGAATTAATGAGAGAATAGTCACAAAAATTTTATAAAAAAAAAAGGGCTCTTGGCCCATTGAAAATTGAAGAAGAAGAAGAAGAATCAGACAGAACCAGGACAATTATAGTTTCACAAGAATGATAATTATTTGCGGAGGATCGGTGGTAGAAGAACCCAACCAAGAAGAGATCATACAAGGAAGCGAAAGGAATAGGCGAATTGACTTGAGATAGCAAGAATCTGGTATGGTGAAAAAGACCGCTCAAATTGGTTAGCGAGCTCTGTATAGTCCATAAAGAGGTAATGCTGTTATGACCCAACGCCAATATTCTGGCGGTAAGGACATGCATTCACTATATATTGCTGCACAGAATGGGATCGACACGTGACAGTTTCCACTCAATAAGGCTAATACTCCTAATAAGAGGTGATAAAAATATGGATTAATACTATGAAAAATTCCAAACTGGTACATCTGTGATAAATTTACCCCAAACTAATTTTTTGACCACCGAAAACCCTAATCTGATATATTTGTGATAAATTTACTCTCCGTTAGTTTCCGTTAAATTGTATTAATACCATAAAAAATCACAAACCGGACAAAACGGAGGGTAAAATCTAAAACCGGTACATCAATCAACTGCTATATGTCATTTAACTTGGTAATTTTATAGTAAAATTTAACGAAAACTAACAAATGGTATATTTGTCACAAGTGTATCAATTTGGGGTTTTTGATAGTCAAAAAATTAGTTTTGAGCAAATTTACTTTCTGACAAAATTTGCAGAAGTTGCAAATACCATATCTGACTCTGGAGGGAGTCCACCCTTTAAAAAGTAGTTTTGTACGGGATTAAGAATCAACCAAACAACCATTATCCAGAACTCAAACGAAAAAGTATTTTCTGTAACAGTCGTATCACGTCTTGCAAACCAGAGTTTAGCAAAATTTTGAAATGTAAGAAACACATTTCCTTATCGTGTAACTTTCCATAAAAGCGATTGATTTGCTTCTTGGCAGTGGCAGTGAAACTGTGGCATAAAATACTTCCTCGCACTTGCACAAAGAACATTACCTGAGGATTGGACCAATGAGAACTGAGAATGACAAAATGAGCCAAACCATTTGCCAATCAACTGTACAGTTAGTTCTCACTACAACCACACCGTAGAACAACAATTTACAAGCAAAAGCCGATTTTGGACATGCAAGAACTGACAACTCCATGACAATCAGGGTTATCCGCAACCAGCCGGTCAAAAAATCAGTAAAGTGGATATTAGAAGGTTAAGGCGTGCTAGATCCGCCATTGTTCCCGTCCAAAATGGCTAATCTTCTCTTTGCAACCTTGGACCGGTAACACCATACATCAAATGCCTCAGTTAGATCAGGATACCGAATATAGTTGTTTCCAAACCATTCAGTCAAGATATCTGCTTGATCACCTGATGGCAATGTAAGCACCAACGAAACGAAGGTCGATTCCAATGATTGCCACAGCTCACCATCCACTTTAAGTTCCACAGCATCGTCACCACTGGACACAGCGGAATCTATGGCAGGTTTGGCAACTCTTACAAACGGAAGCCAGACCTTGACTGCATGCAGCCTCTTTGATGCTGGCAAAATGACATTTCCATACGCGATTGACTCTAAAACCTTTGCCGCAACTTCAACAGTCTTCAGTGTTGTCTTGATCGTTTCACCATTTGGTTCTGGATTTGACGGATGAACTATCTTCACAACTTTATCTGATGCATCCATCCAACAGATAACCAAATCCCTCATTATCTCTAACTTTGTCAATATCTGACAGGCCCATGATAAATCAGATAAATAAAATTGAAGTACATGCAGTGCCTCAGAGGCCAGTTCCGATGACTCACAAAACAAAGACTCTAGCAGACTGTTAAATCTCGCAACGAGTCTACTCATGCACTGTTTTACCTCGGATCTTATCTCATCATCAGCTTTTAGTAGAGGTTCATCATCGTCTTCAGTAAGCATGTACTCGAGTTGCTCTTGAGCTGATGTTTTAAGATCGTTCATATCTGGAGGAGGTGATGATGTGGCTAGTTGAATAGCTGACTGAAAAATCCTCATAATAGCTAATGGATTGACAGGTTCAAGGCGGGAGAGAATTGGCAATACTTGCGATCCCATGCTTGGTATGGTTTTAAGAATCTCCTCCTCCTCAGTCTCTTCCCATGGGACTGCTTCCAAGTAGTTTACACAAGCACTGACGATCTGTGGGCATTCAAGCTCCACGGCCACACGAAGAATGCCAAGTGCATTCCTAACCCCATGCCAAATTTCATCTGTTGAGTTTTCTTTAACATAAAATAGGCGTAGAACATTGACATGGGAGTCAAAATCTGATTCTTGACAGTATACCTCAACGCAGTTGCGGGAATCAAGGATCTGACACGTTGGCCATTTCTCAGAGAGACGATCTGCAAAATAGTTGCTCTTCTCTATAAGGATGTGAGAATGACAGTACAACCAATCGTCTCGGCCATCACTAGTCCGCAACCTCACAACAGTGTCACTGCTTGACCGATCACCAAAATAACAAGGAGCCATTGCTTCAATGACCTGAGCTACGGGAAACCCAGCAGTCAAAGCATGACAGATGAAAGTCAACTTCACTATAGTTACCTCTTAGAGATTGAATAGCATCCTTATTTTACCATCTCCATACAGTGCCAATATCAGCATATTGCAACACAATATTTATGTCATTGAGCATCATTCAAAAGCAGCTCAATGTATGGCAAAGTATCTACGAGAGAGCTAACAAAATCCATTCACCTAATAGTAGCTACAAGCCTAAAAATATTGGAAAGCAGAAAGAGAAGCAGATAAATCTATAAAAGAAGAGCGACATCACATACATATGACTTTACTACAGTAATGAGCCCTAATATGCTTTGCTTGTCAGAGTCGTCTTTTAGAATAGAGAACTTGCAGAAGATCCGAACTGCTAATTAGCTACTAGAGTTGAGATTCTTCTCTGGAATTTGGCAATCATACTATGTAGTCTCCATGGGCGATGGAATTAATTTACTTCAATCACGTAAGAATATATTGAAGACTCAGACTAAACTGCGCAAATGATAATATTTTTGAAAAGACAAATTTTACAGGAGATCAAAATGTCGATGATGGAAAATTTTCAGTTTTTACTTTTTTTATTTTAGATCTTATCATTCATGAGACCAAACTCCATATTCTACTTAACAAACAAGTTCTCGTTGTTGTAATACGATTGTTCTTTGAGAAAATACTTGAAAATGAAGTATACTTACAACTTGTAAAAAACTTAGATATCCTCTCTTTTCTTTTTAGATTTTCCGTGTGACCGTCCTCATTTTAAAAAGAAGTCAAGTTTGTCATATATATTGTCACAGATATAGATATAAGTACAGACGTATCGATTGTAACCATCCCACCAAGGCACCTAATAGCTCCTATTGTCATCATTAAAAAAACATTCACAAAGGTTGTGCAGCCGCAATCTTTCTCATGGGATAAGATAGGAAAATCGACATTCTTTTTTCCAACAAAGGATGGAAATTAGTTTGAATGTGTAAATTCAGGCAGGAAGCAAACTAAGGAGTAAAGAGTAAAGAGACCTCATCACAACATATTGAATGATGTCGATCTCTCACGGACTTAATCCCTTTGCCTAGAGAAACTCAAGCTACAATTTTACCAAGCAATAGAGATTCTGCTGCAAAGTGCGGAAAAGAAGACCATCGGAAATATAACTAGTGCTCCATCCAGGCTAGCCTGTGGAACTGAGAGACGTGAACCTTCCTAAGAAGTCACTTCACAATATTGGTTTCCATGAACAAAAAAATCCCAAATTCCTGCGACATGATTTATTAACGTCTGACCTCTAGTTCGAGCAAGAACTTTTAGGGACCACAGATGCAAAAGATTTAGTGCATGTGTGTGTGATTGTGATGTTACTTGTACTTTGGGCTTTTTACCTTGCCTAATTCTGATGTTTTGCTGCATATTAACGAGAACCAAATTAAGGCATTCGCCTTTTGATATAGTAGCTTTCCCCTAACAAAGAGATGGATTCCTAATTTAAGGGTAAAAGAAGACGAGACTAATGTTAATTTCAACGAATAGCTTTGCTATCTTCCACAGCTAATATCCACTTGTGCCGAACGTTCGAGCGGAAAAAAAAACAGAAGAAAAAAACTCTACTTCGACGTTTGCGCTTATGGCTGTTAACTAGTTCCTACATATCATTGCATTCGGCTTTTTCAGTCAACGACAAATGCAGCATCAGCCACAATGAGAACAGAAGCCGCGAGCAAAGTTCACCCAAAACCACGACTCGAATTCACCAAAGAATCAGCTTCCGATTCCACAGCTGACACCACAAACCCCTCATGCAGAAGAGAAACAAGAGAAAGAGCAAAAACATCATGGAAGCACGACAAGCTCAATGTCCCCCCCACCCATAATACACACTCGGTCTCAGGCCCCACCGCCGAACCACACTGTACGACATTCGAAACGCCAAATCGCCCAAAACGAGCCATAACCGGAAGTTGCCGGGATCGCCCATTAGGAGGCGCTCCCGAAGGACAGCTCGAAAACCCATCAGACACCGACAACAAGCGGGCACCATCATGTCCAAATCATCCGGAATGCGAAGGAAGATAACCGGAAGCAAAGCAGATTTCGAACAACAAAGCACGTGGATCAGACACCCCGCAAAATTATAGCCCCAGAAATCGCATACCTCTTCCTCCGCCGCGAGGTGGGTGAGAATCATGGTCTCCTTAGCTCGAACGAGCAGCGGCCTCCTCGAGGCGCGGGGAACGGGATCGAATCAGAGAGACGGGGAGGGGGGAGACGAAGGGCGTCCACGAAACGGGGGCGCCATGAGAGACCGAGAGAAGGAGGAGAAGAAGAGAAGTGCAGACTGCAGAGTATGTGAGCGAGCTCGATCTGTGCATCCATGGTGACGGTGGTGAGTTTTTCTTTTTCGGAGAAATCGATTAATCCATCGACTTTCATTAAATTCACTTGTAATATCTAAAAAAAAAAAAAACTTTGAACAAAAAACCACGTATTACGCATTAAAATTGCATCGATTAAAGTCCGCTTTTCCACGTCAGCAAAAAAAAAAGATCACTTTAGTCTTGAATCTGATCCACGTCCAAAAATCCCTACCAATTTTTGCAAAATTATCGACCTCAAGAGACTGCCATTATTTCATATGAATGTGAAAATATAAGTGAAGACGCGGGTTCTGATAATGAATCTTTTAACTAGCCCGGATATTTCTAGTTGTGACTTTGCACGCGGGGTAAATTTGGGACCATAGCGAAAGTTCGTGATTTTTGTAAACAAAAAAACAAGGTGTGGAGCAAATTGAGATTGTACATAAAGTTTGGGTTTTTTTATGGGTTAATACCATCGAAAACCTCAAACTGGTACACATGCGATAAATTTACACAAAATTAGTTTTTTGACCACAAAAAACCCCAAATCGGTACACCTATAACAAATTTATCTAAAATTAATTTTTTGATTACCAAAAATCATAAACCGATTGATTTATGACAAATTTATTCTCCGTTAGTTTCTGTTAAATTGGATTAATACCCCAAAATAGCAAATTGGTACACTTATAACAAACAGAAGTTAAATCCCAAAACTGGTACACTCGTTAACTATTATGTGTCATCTAACTTAGCAATTTGATCGTAAAATTTAATGGAAACTTACGGAGAGTAAATTTGTCACAAGTGTACCAGTTTGGAGTTTTTCGTAGTATTAACGCACTTTTTTAATGGCTTAATTCCCTAAAAAATCCTCAACTTTAGGTCAAGTCCAAAATCTGCCTTAAACTTTTTTTTATCTCAGAAAAAACCTTAAACTTTAAGTCTAGTTCCAAATCTGTCCCAAATTTTGTTGTGTAAAAAAATCACTAAAATTCAATTTATTTTCAAAAATATACATTGTGATCTTCCAACTTGACGTGGCACTTCCACGTCAATAACAAATCCACATCAAGAAAGTAATAGGGCTTTTTTTTAGACAAAGAAAAGTTCGGAGCAAATTTGGACCGAACCTAAAAATTCGTTTTTTTAAAATTAAATATTTTTTGGTGGATTTATTATTGTTTCTAACTTTCATATCCTAGAATGGTTTTATTTCGGAGAATTTCAATAAATTTTGTTGGGTTGGATTTGTTATCGAAGTGGAAATACGACGTCGGTCTGTATTTATCGCCCCATTACTTTGCTGATGTGGATTAGTTATCGACATGGAAATGCCATGTCAAGTTGAAACTGGATCAGAGGGTATATTTTTGAAAATAAATTGAAATTTGCTGATTTTTTTTTACAAAACAAAATTTGGGGTAGATTTGGGACTAAACTTAAAGTTTGGGGTTTTTTTCTGAAACAAAAAAAAGTTTAAGGCAGATTTTAGACTTGACCTAAAGTTTGGGGTTTTTTCTGAAATAAAAAAAAGTTCGGAGCTGATTTAGAACTTGACCTAAAGTTTGGAGTTTTTTTAGGGAATTCACCCTTTTTTTTAATGGGAATTAAGCCCATTTTAGTGAATGTATGGTGAGAGAATGTGGACTGCAAACTTGTTAGCAGGCCCAACGTCCTCAATTGAATTTGTATTTACACCGCTGCGAGGTCCATTACAATCTCTTCAAATTGGGCAAAGGCCCAATTATCTAAAAATCATGTTCACTTTACTCCCACGTTGCACCTCCTTACAGTCTTTTTTTGTTTTCGAAATAGAGTATGTTTTTTTTTTGGTAAAATAAATAATTTAAAATATATATATATTAAAATGATTGCTTATACCGCTAAGGAAAATTAGCCTAATAATTTTTTTTATTGACAACAATTTATGCCTAACTATAATTCATAAATGAAGAAAACAATTTTATTCATACATTTTTGTAAGCGATTCAAATAATTATTTTTAGGAAAATGTTTTCCAAAACGTAAGTGACATGCAAATTGATTGACGGGCATAGGATCCTCTAATTGTTGTAACCAACTTAAATTGACTGACGCTTCCTTCCCTAGCATTGGTGGGATGTTTATGTAACATACTTCTCGTGTGCATATGGTCTAGTTTCCTAGTTCTCAGACATTTTTCCCATGTCAATTGGGTTGTGGGACAGGAACGAGGTGCGCTGCAGCATCCACGTCAGGAACAACCACCGGACATTGACTCTAACGTTGCGGAATTGTGGCGGAATCGCTTGTATCGGGGGAAGCGGGAGCTCTGGGATCGACAGATTATTCCGCTTCATGTATAAAGATGGTGCGATTTGATTCGAATAACCTTAGATTGAAGATTCGTGTTCGAACATTCGTGGTTCCTTCCAAATCATTATTTGCCAAATCGAGTTCTTCCCGGAAGGGACAGAACAGAACAAGGAAAAATAATCGACCTCGAAAATAGGATAATAGCATAGACAAGTCATGGTTGCTAGCGATAGTCAACAACTCATCCGTTGACTTCTGACTTGTTGACTGGACTGGGACGCTTGACTCACCTCTGCCCCTTTGGAATTCTTGGCTGCCTTGGACCTCGAGTGCATCGCGACTACACGTCGCTTCACTTACAAATCGAACTCCTTTTTCTTTCCTTCTCGAGCATTTACAGAAATGGAGTTGTTGTTGCTAGAAATCAACTTTCATTTCAAACAAAACATTACAAATCGGATGTAGTACTTACATAGTTACATTAGAATGATAGAAGAAGACTTTACTAATACAATATTTTTAACTATAGACGGGTGATTGTGGAAAAGTTTAAATAACGCAATTTCGATTTGATTAAAAGCCCAATTTGCAAGCGCATGAGCAGCTCTATTGTTGGGTTTATGGGTTGGGGCCAAACTCCATCTTGGATTGTGTTGAAATAGGAAGCGAGAATCTGCAACGAAATGCTGAATACTCCGAGGGCAAAGACCCTTTTGTTGGATGGCATCAATTAAGATGTTGCAATCGCTTTTCAGATGCCGAGGGACTTAGCATAATTGCAGGCGAGAAGGAGAGCTGCTGCTTCCTTTTCCATTGGCGAGTTTCGACGTCCTCTTCTTGTCCAAGCTTGGACTACTCAGCTAGCCGGTCGTGCAATAATACTCATGACTCACTTTGTTCTCTTTCCATGCACTATGTACATAGAGTTGGTATAGATTGTCTTCCAACTTGTCAAAGTTGTCCTTATCTTTTCTTTGTACTATTCGTGCGTGTCACGATAATTTTTAGATTCAAACCGCGTAACTTCTCATCCATGATTCCATTCATACTAAATTAATTCAAGTCCTATCGAACTGTGTGCTTCCGAAACCCTCATAAACCTTTTCTTGGGATTTGATGACAGTTAGATCGCAAGATAGTAATCTCAATTGTTGATTATAAAACTAGTTAAGTATTTTCATATTACGGCACTTTATGCATAAAAACTACGACCCAAAAAAAAAAAAAAAAAACGCACGTGATCACGGGACGCCGAAAGCGCGAACTACGAAAAAGTTTCTTTGACAGCCTGCCTCTTGGGCACCACCTGTGATCCAAAAATCGGAATCGGGTTCGAGTTCGACCATATATCCGGATCGGGCGTCGGTCGGCGCACTTGATTTGAACAATGGCCGTTCGACAAGCGAGAATGATGTTGAATACGATTGTCCAATTTGGTTCTGCTCGAGCCAGACTTTTCGTGTCTACGGACATACTTATTGGAATGCCAGAAAACTGCCGAATGAGAAATAGACTTTTGCATGAAGTGTAGTTCGTTTCTCGAGCACTCAAGTGAGAACTGAAGAAAAAAGAGTTCTTCCCAAGGGTCTAATCTAAACTCAAGAAAAGAGCGGCTTTCGTGGAAATTGAGCCTGAGAGAGAGAGAGAGAGCTTTGAATTCAGGGAGGACGACCCTACCGACCCAGTACGTGCTTGACCGTTTACTTGATTTGTCCTCTTGTCGAGTAAAACGCTGCTAAAGGACGAGGGTTTTTGCTTAGTCGCTAATTCAATCGGGGTGAAATTCAAGCCCACGATTTACATTAAATATTTTCATATGGTTCAGGAACTAAACTGAACATGTGTTAAAAGCTCAAAGACGACATTGAACATATTAAAAGTTTATGAACCACGTTGAATATTTGATTAAAGCTCATGGATTATATTGAATAAATTAAAAGTTCAGAGACTAAATTGCACGTTTAGTAAAAAATTCAGATACTGTTTATATCATGTTCCCGGTGAAATCCTAATGACCACGCATGAATTACTTGCTCCATTCCCATCACCTTCCTGACAGGTAAGTGGAAGTAGCTCCCCATCTAAGCGTGTCTGAAGCGAAAACTTGGGTCATGTTCTTTCTCTCTTTTTTCGTCCCACCAAAAAGCAGATGAGGTCGGGCCTGAAATTTCCCACGTTGCTTTTCAATGATTAAGGCAACTTCTTTTTACGCGGGATCGATGTGGTGTGATTGGATGCTTGGTTTCACACATGTTTTTTTATTATTTTTTTAGGGGTCACCGGTTCGTAGACCCCGGTAGCTGGAGGTCATGGAAGACTCCACAAGTCGATTAAGCTCGTAGTCCCGACGCCGAGACAGATTAAGCGTTCGACCCAATTATGATAAGATGCTATACCGCTTGAATATCCACATACGACGAGATTAGGAATTTACGGAGGATTTAGTTAGTTGTAGTTTGCCCTTGAGATTGCGTAGTTATCCTTAGTGTGCTCTAAACAAGAGATTCAGTAAGAATCAAAGCTAACATCATGTTTGCTGAGTCTCAAACTCATAAGTTGTATTATCGAATCAACCAACCCTTATGATATTTAGTTTGTTCATATTTGTTCTCTCGGGCAATTGAATTATTGGATAATTACAAAAAAAAGAAGTCATAAACCTATTGTACGGATATCAATTAAGATAATTATCAAAAAAGTCATATACTTATTGCAGTTATCCCAATTTAATCCTAAACATTTTGACAATTTGCCAATATAATTCATTTACTAAATTAGGGAATTGACATATGTACAATAGGTTTAGAACCTTTTTGGTAATTTTCCCTTTGAATTATGCACTGTTAGTGTGGAGCTTCCGGATAGGATGCGAGTTTATTCAAGGTTACATATTAGGTGTCAAAGTGTACTTTATTGCATCCGTACATTGATAATGGTACTCTCGATTGACAAACTATATGAGAAGTGAGAACTTTCCAAAGTGTCTATTTAACGACCGACCCACACTATACACGTGGTTTGTTCTTACTCCCCCAAGTTGTAGCGCCATACGACAGAAGATGATGTGGTCACTGTTTCTCTTTCGGCGAGATCAAAGCATGAACGTTCATGGAGAGAGAGAGAGAGAGAGAGAGAGAGAGGTGGGGTAAGCTAATTATGGCGTGTAGTCCCCGCGAGCCGCTTGATTCAAACATAAATCTTGACCTAAATCAGTAAAAGCCAATTTGTAAATGACCGACTTTTCCGTCTTTGAATTCCGCTGAACCAATTTTTGGACTTATTGAATTGCAGTGAAATTTTTTTTTGAAAATTCCTAAACTTATTGTACGACAGGCAATTCAATCCTAAACTTTTTAATTATGCCAATTTAGTTCCAAACGTTTCGAAAACTTGCCAAGTTAGTTTTAAACCTTTTTATTGTGTCAATCTAGCCCTAAATCTTTTGAAGAGTTGCCAATTTAGTCATAAATCTTTTAATGATTTGCTAATTTAGTTCTTCCGGCCAATTTTGGCAGGAAATAGCCGACGTGGACAATTCTTTTTACATTTTTGAATGTTTTTCCTTTCCTTTTTTTTTTCTTTTCCTTCTTCCTTTGGCCAATTGTGGGGCCTCGGCGATGCTCGGCACTAGCTAGAGGCAAGGGCGATTTCACCATCGCTGGGGGAGGAAGGCCTCGCCAGCCCCTGGCAAGGTTGACCTTGCTTTGCCACTGGTGAGGCTCGACCTCGCCAACCGAGCCACTAAAGAGGCCAACCTTGCCGGCTTTCGAATCTGGCCATCATTGTGGCCCATCGTTGGCCATCATTGTGGCTCGACGATCGGCTAGAGGAAAAAGGAAAGAAAAAAAGAAAAAATATAAAAAAAAATAAAAAAATGTTAAAAAGTATCCATGTCAGCGCCACGGGCGGCAACGCTGACTAGACCGCCACTCAATTATTTCCGGATAAAATTTACAGGCCAGACTAAATTAGTAAATCGTTAAAAGATTTAAGACTAAATTGCCAACTCAAAAGATTTAAGACTAGATTGTCACAATTGAAATGTTTATGATTAAATTGGCAAGTTATCAAAAGGTTTGAGATTAAATTGACACAACTGAAAAATTTAGGACTGACTTGGCCGCCGTACAATAGGATTAGCATTTTTTGGACGATTTTTCCTGGCATGCCGGACTAGCTACAAAGACTAACTAATGTTGTAAGTTAATGATATATATTAAAACTGAGGGCACAAAATAAGAAACAAAATCATTATTTATATCTTGGATTTATACCCATCTTTAATAAGGTACCATATATTATATAAATAATATGCCGTGATACATTGTCTTCCACTTGCGTGTTCATTCAGTTTTGCCATGGACCAAAAGTTCCCTGCTTTGACCATCGAAATCTCCCTCTAAGAAATATAGGAACAGACTTATAAATAAAGCGTATCAGCATTGACCAGCAACAGAAGACCCCTCTCGCTCTCTCTCTCTCTGTCTAGTTTTTGAATAAAGAGAGCCGCTGTTTCTTACCAACACGTAGCCTTGTTCATTCACACAATCTTCCTGTTTCATCAAATCTCACCCTTTATTCCTTCACACTGACTCCATTTCTCTTTCGGGTCCGACGTTAAATTGCTAATGTCCGATCATGGACGATGCTCTTGATGTCCCTGAGTACTTCACGTGTCCCATATCTCTGCAGCTCATGAGAGACCCCGTGACTGCCGTCACCGGCATCACCTACGACAGAGAGAGCATCGAGCAGTGGCTTTCCAGCGGTGAGAGTGCGACCTGCCCCGTCACCAAGCAGCCGTTGACGAAGGTCTCCGACCTGACCCCGAACCACACCCTCCGCAGGCTGATCCAGTTGTGGTGCAACGAGAACGCCTCTCGGGGTGTCGACCGCATTCCCACCCCGAGAGCGCCCCTTGGCAAGTCCTGCTTGCTTAAACTCGTCGGAGACATCCAATGCCATCGATCGGAGATCGAGACCCTGAGACGCATCGAAATGCTCGCGGTAGAGAACGAGCGAAATAGAAATCTTATGATAGAGGCTGGGATTCCCAAGGCTATAATGTCATACGTTGCAAATTGTTGCGATGAAAACCGGACCATTGGTCTCGAGGAAGCATTGAGCATACTAGTACTACTTCGAGTCCCATCCGCACACGCGGAGCTGCTCGTCGGCCAAAACGATCAGATCATCAAATCACTGACTTGGGTTTTAGGTTGTGAAGTCGACAATCGCATCGCAGTGAGATCACATGTGCTTATAGTCCTCAAGAGGATGATCGAAGCGGCCAGTTCCTCTGTGCTAGAAAGATTGAAAAGCGAGTTCTTCCAAACAATCATCGGTCTCCTAAGGAACGGCATCACTCAACAAGCACTAAACGCGTCACTCCATATATTGCTCGACTCGTGCCCATGGGGGAGAAACCGCGCGATGATGGTGGAGCATGGCGCCGTGTTCGAGCTCATTGAGCTGGAACTAGGGTTCCCCGAGAGGAAGACCACCGAGCTAATCCTCGGAGTATTGTTCCACCTATGTTCTTGCGCCGACGGGAGGGCTCAGTTCATGGGCCACAGATGCGGGATCGCCGTGGTCTCGCAGAGGATCCTGAACGTCTCGCAATCCGTGGACGAGCGGGCCGTCCTCATACTTTCGATGCTGAGCCGGTTTTCCGGGAATTCGATGTTCGTCCGGGAGATGCTAATGGTCAAAGCCGTGTCGAAGCTTTGCTTCTTGCTACAAGCGGATCACACGACGTACTTGAAAGACAAAGCTCGAGAAATACTTAAAACGCACTTGGACGAATGGAAGAAGTCTCCTTGTATCAATGATACGCTCATAACTAGGGTTACTAGGTAAGTGCATGATTTGTGAGTGTATGAATTAATCAAAAATGTGGTTTCTTTGTTACTCAAGTGTCGATTTTGCGAATGTGGGAGAAAAGTGTCAATATTTCTTGCAGTGTATCAGCAGAGAAAAGTAACTAATGACGATCTCTGTAGCTGCTTAATGTTGTGGAGAAACGCAAACTTGGTTACGAAAACGTGGCGGAACATCATGCGTACGTAAAAGTCAGACAACGAGAATTGCGCGACCAATCGGTCCATATTTGCTGGAATTTTATATAATGAAAGTAGAAAATAAATAATTCACGAAGAAAGTGAGCTTTTGAGATAAGAGGGACGAAGAATAGATAGGTTATTATAAAAATGATGAAGCATGTAACTGTGACTTTAATTTTGAAAATCTTCATTGAAAGGAAGTGAAAATAAACAAGTGACTATGTTAAAGTCTTGTCTATGTTAAATTTTTGTCAAGATTCTACTTGACTATTAATGATAAATTTCCTTGACAACGTAGAAAAGCATTAGGTTTCTTGAAAATTTCCCTTTTCAACAGAACTGATTTCTATGTAAGTAAAATTTAACAATAAAAAAAAAAGAAAACACGGTGCCTTTAATATATATATATATATAGGAGATCCACATTAAAAAATACAAATCATGTGAAATTGATAATTATGGCAACTAAATCCTACATAGAAATAGAATGAAAGTAAATAAACTTGGGGCCATCACTTTAAGTTGCAATTGGATCATTGAGGACAATTTTATCTTTCTGGTGAAATAAGAGTGGATTTAGACATACAATGGGTGAAAATAGCGCCGTCTTAAATAAACTGGACATATACCTTTCATTCTTTTTCATACTAATTGCAACTTCTGAATAGATAGCTGTCTAATACATTAGTTCTGAGTTTCTATTAGAATGATCAAGGCATTGTTTCCAAGTCTAACTTTGTTCTCATGTTTAAGAATTGGTTTATTGCTAGATCCACCACCAATGTAACAAAAGAAATCACACAATCACCATTTGATAACTAACATGTGTTTTTGGAGTAAGTTTTGTCATCGAATTTTTTCATATGTCAACAACCCCAAGGTGAATATGGAAGTTATGGCAGTTCATCTAGTAAAATTGCTTAAAAATTTCATGGTCAAAACTTAGAAGATCACAATAACTGTTGGTCATCACACATAGTACAACCATGACTACAGGTGCAAATCGATATAACTATTAATTAGAAGAAAAAAAAACCGCATCAAAAGTCTTAAACTTTACATATAGACTTCAATCAAGATTCATCGGAAATAGAAATTAAGTCCTAAATTTATACTGAAAAGTGCAATTTCATGCTGCCATGTATGCAACTTTCTAGTATCACCGAAGCGGTTCTCAAAATCGTTCAACGAAAGAATGCGCTTGGACTTTTTTGAAGAAGATTTTATGATTTAATTGCACCAATTGGGATATTTAGGCCTCAATTCCATTTCATATATATAAGATTTCGAACTTTCAGTGCATTTTTTTAATAATTATTAAGAAGGGGTTTGTGTAGTATATGTATACATTGTGACAGAAACGAGTTCCTATTGCTTCGGCAAAAAGAATTAGGATTTTCAAAAGTTTATTAATTTTGTGACAGAATCTTATAGAATGTAGTGCGGTGAAAACGAGGATCAACATAAATAAACTTTGCAAGTATGCACGAGGAGCAAGAACATAGAGAAATCTTTCAATCTTGAGTTAATTGCCAAAGGTCCAAGCAACTAAATGTTGTAAATTTTCATAATGCAATCTTACCAAAGTTCTTTGGCAAACATCACATAGTTGACACATGGTCCTCAAACCCTATCGAACCAAAAAAAATTACCTGAGCAGAAATAAAAAAAGTCTTTCAAAAACAACATAAAAAGAAACTGAAAGCATGCAGATGCAGAGTTGGTTGCTCCTTCTCATCCTTCTCATCCTTTAACCTATTTCGAGAGAGAGAGCGTGCCTAGTGAGTCGTAATTCCTATCATGGTGCGAATTCTACAATATCAATTGCCGGACGAGTAGGTTGGGAAATCACTTGTACGAAATTGCTGAATAACGAACTATACAACCATTGAATTTGTGGCACATTATATTCTCTATTATTAAAATAATGGGAAATGACCAAAACAATATTCTCAATATCATTTCCCTTATTCAATTTTGGGTCCCCATACTTTAATTTTGAGCATATTTATTCCCTAGATTCATTTCATGATTTTAGAGCAAATTTTGTATTCCCGTGGAAATATCGTCAGAAAATGCCGAATAATCTCTGGACATGAACACACGGCGCCAATGTGGAATTAAAACAAATGAAAAGAATTTCTGTAGAACTCACAAAAAATTATGCATCTAGTATGATTGGTATTCAAAGTTGTGTGCATGCTCCTCCCATGTGTATTAGCCTTAAAGGAACTATTGGTGGTGCAGTATCTAAGAAGGCCAAACTCGTTGGCAGAAAGCCCACACCCTTTAATATAGCATGGGCCGACCACGTACAATACTCAACGAGCGGCTTTTAAAGAGCCAACCTTTGTTAACGGTAGGATTAAAACTAGTAGTTGTAAGTTGTAACCAAAAAAAAAAATTATTAGTGACTCAATTTGTATAATTGTGTGCCTAATCTGTTAGTAGAATACTCGCACTTTTACGTAAAACATACGTACATAGATGACTTTTCAATAAATCTTCCATCTCCCGCACGTTTGTTGAACTTATGAAGAAATGCATGTTCTTTTGGAGTAAACCGAAAATATAATATTCTTGTGATTTCTCATTAAATGGCGCGAATTAATAACAAAATACGATTTTACTATACAATCTTGTAATTTAAATTGTCCAAATAGTGAGTTTTGTCGTTCAATATAGTTCACATTAAGTTATGATAACATTATTTTGTGATTTATAATTTCGAACTCTTTTTGACATGCTTTTAAAGAAGGGTTAATATCACGAAAAACCCTAAAATAGTACACTTATGACAAATTTATCCCAAACTAATTTTATGACTACTAAAAACCCAAAACTAGTACATCTGTGACAAATTTACCCTCAGTTAATTTACGTTAAATTTTACCTTCAAACGGCTGAGTTGGATGACACGTGACAGTTGATAGATGTAGCAGTTTGGGGTGTACCGGTTTATAATTTTTCGTGATGTTAATCCAATTTAATAGAAACTAATGGAGGATAAATTGCTACAAGTGTATCAGTTTGGGGTTTTGATTGTTAAAGATTTAATTTGTGATAAATTTATTATAGATGTATTAATTTATACTTTTTGGTGATAAAAAATTAATTTTAAATAAATTTATTATGTATATATTAATTTGAAATTTTTCGAGATATTAACTATTGAAGAAATGACAATAAATTATCCGTTATTTTTGACAAAGAGACTTCATCATCGTCGAACCTGATATGCATTTGTGAACACGATTTCTTCCCACGAGACAAACGAATCTTACTTTAGATATGGATCAGAAAGCAACCGCATTTTTGCGAGTGAAATTCAATAGTTTATCCTTCCACGCACCAATTAGCTGTCAATATGCCCGACATCCTTATCCATAATCTAACAAAACGTGTCAATAATCCCAGGGTTGGCACGAATAAGTAGGACGTCGGGAAAAAGAAAACGTGCAAAAAGTGCAATGAAAATACAAGTCAAACGGCCCTTTTTGGCTTGCGGGGCATGTGTTGCACTTCGGATTTGCCTGAACAAAACCATCAAATTTTGTTAAACCATGGACAACTCTTACTTCCTTCTCTCTTTTTTTTAACACTTTAGCACAAGTCATGACATAAGTCGTACGCACCCTTTATCCATTATCCAAATGGATTTTTTTTTATTTAATGATATATGATCAAAAACGTTTTTTGATATTTTAATCTCATTTGAAAAATGAGACAATGACAATCTCCTCACTTAGCCCGTAAACGCCCTCGTTACTCGGCCCTCCCGGCTCAACCATGACTCGCCTCCCCACTTAGCCCGACTCCTCCACCCCAAGAAAAGTATCAAAAAAGTCCTAAATCTTTTGCATTTGTGTCAATTTAGTCCTAAACCTTTTGCATTTGTGCTAATTTAGTCATAAAAATTTTTTTGGTGTCAATTCATTCCTAAACCTTTTGCATTTGTGCCAATTCAGTCCTAAATCTTTTGCATTTGTGCCAATTCAGTCATTCCGGCTAATAGCTATTCACGTGTCGAAGGACTGAATTTGCACCAATGCAAAAAGTTTAGGACTGAATTGGCACAAATGCAAAAGGTTTAGGACTGAATTGGCACCAAAAAAAGGTTGAGGACTGAATTGGCACCAATGCAAAAGGTTTAGGACTGAATTGGCATAAATGCAAAAAAGTTTAGGACTGAATTGGCACAAATACAAAAGGTTTAGGACTTTTTTGACACTTTTCCCCCTCCGCCCCGCCCAGCAGAAACCTACCTCCGGCCAACAGCCCTGCAACCATTGCCGCACCTCCTAGTGCTGCTCCTTCACCGTGCCACCTTCCAACCCCAAACCTTAATGGCCTCCCAGAACCGGCCGAAACCCCTCAACAGCAAGAGTTCCAAGCTCGAGAAGCCTTGCGAGTCGTTCACAAAGCACGGTGCTGTGAGCTCCATCCCCAACTCTCCTCAAAGCTCCAAGTTGGGGACTCGGTATTGTTGGCCGGATTGATCCCTGACAGATTTTGTCGCCCGGCCGAGTCTCTCCAATCGGCTCCGATTCCGTTCATGATGCTGATCTGGCCCATAATTTGTTCGTGGATGTGGCCAAGTAGCCACGATTCGGTGATTGTAGCTTCCGCGCCTTGCCGGAGAGGTTCTCAATGACAGAGCTATAGGCAGAGAGCTTTTGAACTAGAAAGAGGAATTAAACTCCCACGAATTAGTTGACTAGTCATTTTTGGTAAACCAAATAGATGAAACCAAACAGGTGAAAATCCGGAAAACTAATTTCTTGAAAACACTTCCACTTAAATAAACACACCCTGCAAAAAAGAAAAAGAAAAAAATGAGTCTAAATT